TTGGATGGAAGGATGGATGTTTGATGGATGGATGATGGATGGATGTTGGTTGGATGAATGGATGGATGGATGGATGTTGGATGGATGGATGTTGGATGGATGTTGGATGGATGTTGGATGGATGGATGGATGTTGGTTGGATGGATGGATGGATGTTGGATGGAAGGATGGATGTTTGATGGATGGATGTTGGTTGGATGGATGGATGGATGGATGTTGGATGGATGGATGGATGGATGATGGATGGATGTTGGTTGGATGGATGGATGGATGTTGGATGGATGGATGGATGTTGGTTGGATGGATGGATGGATGGATGGATGGATGGATGTTGGTTGGATGGATGGATGGATGATGGATGGATGTTGGTTGGATGGATGGATGGATGTTGGTTGGATGGATGGATGGATGGATGGATGATGGATGGATGGATGTTGGATGGATGGATGGATGGATGATGGATGGATGTTGGTTGGATGGATGGATGGATGTTGGTTGGATGGATGGATGGATGGATGGATGATGGATGGATGGATGTTGGATGGATGGATGGATGGATGATGGATGGATGTTGGTTGGATGGATGGATGGATGTTGGATGGATGGATGGATGTTGGTTGGATGGATGGATGGATGGATGGATGGATGTTGGTTGGATGGATGGATGGATGATGGATGGATGTTGGTTGGATGGATGGATGGATGTTGGTTGGATGGATGGATGGATGGATGGATGGATGATGGATGGATGGATGTTGGATGGATGGATGGATGGATGCTTTGAACTGTTCTAACTAGAGGTCACTGATGTTGTTTTTCGGTTCCTGAGACCGACGCCGGGTCGTGATCAGCTGATATCTCCATGTTTTCCACTGATAACATCAGCTGTTCTGTTGAACCTTCTGATTTCCGTTAGAGACCAAAGGTTGCTTCAACCATCAACAGGAAACGACGGAAGAGCTTCTGTTTGGACTGTTTCCTGTCACTGGGTCCAAACGGGTTTTATGAGCCCGGTTCTGAATCCGTTACTGGTGAGGTGGTCCAGACGTTAATGTTGCTGGTGTTTATGAAGCTTCTACGTTTGTTCTGAAGCATCAAAGCTCATCTTGGAATTAGATGTTTACAGCTTTTAAACACAACAGCGGAGAGAACTCTGGACTGGATGTTCCAGATGGTCCTGGTGGTCCGGGTCATCCCGGAGCCATTCAGATAAGGAGCCGATGGCGTCAGCTCCTTGTTCTGGTTCACCTTTGACCCGACCAATCAGCATCCAGTCTGTCTGACCGTCAGAACCGAGGATCCAGTGAGAACAAAGGCTTTCCTCTCTCTGTCTGGCTGACAGTTGCCATGGCAACTATCAATGCTGAGGAGGGAGCGTTGCCATGGTAACGTGACTTAATTACACCGATCGATACAAAGTTATGTGAGCGTCCTGGTGGAGAATTGTAGGGTGTGTGTGTGTGTGTGTGTGTGTGTGTGTGTGTGTGTGTGTGTGTGTGTGTGTGTGTGTGTGTGTGTGTGTGTGTGTGTGTGTTTTGGTACATGTCAGAGTGTGCTGGAGAGCGTGGAGCGTAACGTTTCAGCTCCCTGGTGACTCTCAGAGGAGACGAGCGCTGACAGAACTGTCTGAGCCTTCCCTCTGGCTCTAACGCTTCCTCCTCTTCCTCCGTCTCTGTCATCGTGTGTTTTTCATCTCGGATCTTAAACGTTCCTCCTCCTCTCCCAGGACCACCTGGATCAGACCAGGAGTCACTCATGATGTCAGAAGATGAGTTTCGCTTAAATATCCATAACGTTTGCACACAAGCTAGAGGACGGGTTAGAAACATGATTCTGTTTTTGTTTCTGCTCCGTCATCACCGAACAAACTCCTAAATGTTCCAAGAGTCAGATCCGGAGAGTAAACTGGGATTTTACTCCCTAACGGAGGAGCTCCTCCCGCTGTTCGGAACTGCTGAAGCAGGAGAAAAGTTTTATTTGCTCCGTCTGAAGTTCTGCTGAATCATTTGTGTTCTGTGGAGTTTTTTAGATGTTTGTTTGGAGACGGAGGGAATGACGGATTCTTTTCAGGAATTTCACCTCTTGTCTCATCTTGTCTGAGCGAATAAATCGTCCCCTTTAACCTGTTAGGAAGCTGTGTGAGCACGCTAAAACAAAAGATGGTGCTTCAAGTTCCCAGATGCGTTTTAGTCCCTGAAGTCTTTATTAAAATTAGATCAAACCTTTTCTGTTTCATTTTCATGCCTTAAAACTTCTTTTAAAAACATTTTAGTGATGGAAAAACACAATAATCCTTTCATCCGGGTTAACATCCGTGCCGTTAAGGTGTAGTAAAACCTGGCTCAGCCCTTGAGTTTTGCTTAACTGACTCAAAGATCAGAGGTCATAATTAAAGGGTTCAACAAACATACAAGAGTTCACAGTTTCACAGGAATCTCTGAGGAATCTGGAAGCCATCTGGAACTTTCCTAAGTTTAGTTTCCTGGTGTCAGAAAGAGGATCTGGACACTAAATTGTAAAAACACAAATAATTGAGACATAATGAAGAGACACAATTTGAGTTTTGTTTTGAGACACGGCAGACGACTCGGCGGTCCGATACGACCTGCTGGAGAAGTGTCGAGTCAGTGATTGTAGCTTCAGCTCAGCTGGTTTTTGTCCGGAATACGAGTTTCAGTTTGATTCCCACGAGTTAGAAAACAACACAAGACGACCTTGGCGGGAGGCGGAGAACGCACCGAGACCTTAAAGGAACAATTTGGGTCAAAGTTGCAACGGAAATTTTTGCTAATTCTTTTCGGCGTCAACATTTTTTAACCGTTCGATTCTTTCAGAAGATTTTCACGTTTTCTCACAGTTTGGTGTCTCGCTGAGGACCCGACTCCTCACAAACGGGACTGGCCGTGGTGCGTTTACTTTTTGGGCAGGTGGAAGTGAATCCTCTGGTTTCTAAGAGATGAAATTGTGCAGAACGGCTTTCCGTACGACTCTGGCGCGGCGATGGGGTGATAGTGGGTGTGTCGTGTCGCAGCTTCTCTCCTCTGAGCTGCAAACGTTTCTCAGCTCAGAGAAAGTTCGATTCAAAAGCTTCGATGCTAAAAACACAAAACTAGCTTCCTGTTCATGACCCCCCCCCCCCCCCCCCCCCCCCCCCGAAGCTTTTGTTTCCTGTTTTACTTCCTCTGGTCGTCACACTTTTGGCTCCACGTGTCCGAGTCTCTGTCTTTGACGGGTATGGAGTCACCTTGTTCCGGAGTTTTCCCACTGGAACGCCATGGGGAGTTGGCGACCATCGTTGTGTCATCACAGCTCAGAAACACGACGGAGTTCGTGTTTCTCTTCATGCTAGCGTGCATCTAAACGTGTTGATCGTTTCATGTGTTTCAGCTCCCAGCGATCATAAAAACGATCTTTTTAAACGTTTACTTCTGTTTTCTCTCCAGAAACGTGGTTCTCTTCCGGGCGTCAGCGCTCCTGGTTTTCTGTGTTACTTCCTGTTTAGATGTCCGAACTTCCGCTGCAGCTTTTCTCTGTTCTATTAAAGAGACAGTGTGTATTTTTTACCGTTAATCTCTGGAAAAATCCATCGAAATGTTGAAAGTGAATTAAACGGCGTCCAGTAGTTGTTCACGTAACCGTAAAAATCCGTTCTACGAGACGGTGGAGCGGGTCTACGCCGTTTTAGACGCTATGTTTCGTACTACGGGAGCCCGCGAGGACAAAGACGTTTACTGGTTTGTAGCAAGCGGTTACAAAAGCACGCATTAACGTTGTTTACATGTTTGCGTCTTTGCTCGTTGCCACGGATGAGAGGGAGTCTGATGGGCTCGCCGTTTAGCGGGAGGTTGAAGGATCTGACGAAGCGCTCGCTGGAGATGTTTGACCCTGACGACCTTTTGTTGGTACGGTCTCGGTCATCAGCTTCAGCCTGTTGCTGCGGGTCGACCCTTCTTTGCCGGTCTCGGCGTCTGTTCTGTTGTTATTCCCTTTCAGCCTAACCCTCGCCCACCGTCTTTCATTCCACGTCTTTGGCCAACGCTCAGCTTCTCACGCTTCTGTTCGCTTCCTTCCTTGTTCCAATGTTCCCAGAATGCTTCTGTCTTCTACGTCAGTAACTGTGACGCGGATGCCATTTTGAATTTCTGCCGAATTAAAGGCGTTAAAGTCTCGATCAGCTGTTCTCCGGAGTTCATGACGTTTTCATTTGGACTTCTGTCCTGGAACCTGAGCATTTCCAGAAGAATTTTCCTCCATAACTCAAGGGGTGGACCAGTGTCGTCTCATTAAACAGAAGTGGAGTTTTAGGTCTCACGAAAGTCTTCCTCAAAAGCATCAGCTGTTTGTTTTCAGGAGAAGACATGGACGTAATTTTGGGGGGGGACAGGGGGGACATGTCCCCCCCACTTTTTCCAAAATCAAGTTTTGACCCCTGCACTTTTTACCATCCAAAAACAATATTACGCTATATTAAATGGACACTGGTTGAGCTCTAAGACAAAGCGGAAAACAGACGTTTGTGTTGAAAACTGTTTCCCATTAGAGCATACTGTAAAGTCCCCCCCCCCCGTGTCCCCCCCACTTCTAAAGTGAAAATTACGTCCATGGGTGAAGAAGCCCCAGAACTCTAAAGAAGATCTCATCCTGAGACCCACGGATGTCCTAAGTGGGACACCGGACTTTGTCTCTCAGCAGAGACGGTCGGTACAAACTTCTTTAGATGAACGCATGAAAACAGCAGACAACAGGTTTTATCTCCAGGGAGGGAGATCAGCTGCAGGGCGAGGTCTGAGATGACAAAGCACTTCCTGTCCAAAAGGAGCACGTAGAGCCCTGATGGTGTCCGGCTGTGCTGCATCGTAAACCCGGAGGTGTTTGCTCTGTAGGAAACGGCTCCGCTCAGCTCAGGATGAGGCGTCTGCACGGTGCTTCCTCTTCATCTGGAAAATGTTTGTTTTTTCCTCACTCGTTCATTGTCGCCTCCTCCGTGTTTTCCCGTTCAGGTTTGCAGTCATCGCCTCGGGCTGTGCCAGCTGTCCACGGCTGGTTTGTCGCAGAGAGGGCTGCGGCGCGGAGTTCTGCTACCACTGCAAACAGGCGTGGCACCCCAACCAGACCTGCGACTCGGCCCGGCAGCAGAGGGCCCAGTCCCTGCACACCCACTCCCCCAGCTACACCCAGGACCAGGGCCCCGGTGAGTCCCGAAGGCCGTCAGACGGGCGGTGACTCGAGCAGAACCGTCTGACTGATGCTGTGTGAGAGCAGAGGGCCTAAAAAAGTCAGCTTTCACACCTTTCTGAAAGTTTCCTTCATCAGCAGTCTGTCGGAGTCGGAAGCCCGTCGGGCTGCGGCATTCTCGTCTCAGGAGGAAGTGGGAAGCCTTTAAATCAATCATCAGAGGATATTTATAGCTCAGAATCTCCTCTCAGGTGTTTCAGAACAACAGAACTCCGCTTCCTGTCAGACGTCTCAGGTCTCACCCAAACTTTAGTTCAGACTGTAGGAAAAGCAGCACGATCCGGTTTAAACCAGCCGTTTAACCGCAGCGTGTTCTCCGAACGTACCTCCTTATGAACGGTGTCAGACTTCTTCAGTCACTTCCCTTTTATCGTCACGGTAAAAAGTTCCTTTCCTCACAACTTCCTGCGTTGGTAAAGGAACCGGTGACGTACACACACACACACACACACACACACACACACACACACACACACACACTCTCTCTCTCTCTCTTAAACAGCAGAAGGTGTTCAAATCAATCAATCAAAGCTTTATTTATAAAGCTCCTTCCGCAACCCTGTCAGGAAGCCCAAGGCGCTGAACACGGTTCAGTAGAAGTACAAATGTAGTGAATAAATCAAAAATAAAAGCAATTCAAATTACAAATTACAAAAAAAGGTGAAACATTCTGGTCCAGGACAGATGTGTAAAACGAGGGAGAGAGTGAACCAATGACAACTGTGAAATAAATTCAACATAAAAGAGGGCCGAATCAGACATGTTCAGGAAACGCCAAGCGGAGGAGGCGGGTTTTTAGGCGACTCTTAAAGGCTGGCAGAGATGGGGACAGCCTAACTGAGGGTGGCAGCTGGTTCCAGAGAGAAGGTGCTAGGACTGCTGTTTTGATCCTTTAACAGGAAAAAATTCCTGCTAAACAAATAAGGAATAAAAAGTTCCACCATGTTTTATTCTGACTTATTTTGTGGGGTTTTTAACTACCATAAAAACTTTCTGGATTCGGCTTTTTTGGGTCTGAATTCTGATTTTGGGAATATTTAATGAACTTGTTGAACTTGGCTGTGATCATTTATCCTCGTACGTAAAACAGCCGAGGTAGAAGAGGAAGCCCGGCGGGGCTTCGGTGTGAGCTTCTCTACATGCTGCCGGTTTTACGGAAGACCCGTCGCTCTTTGTTTAGTTTGAGGAAGTCAGACATTCGTGAAGGTCGATGACAGGAAAACCTGTTGGGATTAGCATTTGGGATTTCTGTGGATTTGGCTGAGAGGACAGTAATTACCCCGATAGTGAAGTAAACAATCTCATCATTATTTTGTCTCCAGCTGATGACATCAAGCCGTGCCCTCGCTGTGGCGCTTACATCATCAAGATGAATGATGGGAGCTGTAATCACATGACCTGCGCCGTCTGTGGCTGCGAGTTCTGCTGGCTCTGCATGAAGGAGATCTCCGACCTGCACTACCTCAGGTTCACGTCCACACCTGCAGCACACCTGTCATTCATTCATTCATTCATTCATTCATTCATTCATCCATCTTCTTGTCTTCCTTGCCTCCATCAGTCCATCTGGCTGCACGTTCTGGGGCAAGAAGCCTTGGAGCAGGAAGAAGAAGATCTTGTGGCAACTAGGAACTCTGATCGGAGCTCCGGTCGGCATCACCCTCATCGCAGGCATCGCAGTTCCCGCCATGGTCATCGGAATTCCGGTTTATGTCGGACGCAAGGTAGGAAGCAGCGGCACGAAACAACAAATTAAACACTTTCCTTGGAGTTTTTAAAAATAATAATTTAGAGCTGAAAACCTGCAGGACGTGAAAGTCGATGTAAACTGATGCTGGGAGCAAAGGAAGGAGACAGGAAGTGATGCGGAGAGTAAAGAGGAAGTTGAGAAAACCTGTTTCCTGTTTAATAAAATGAGGAGTCACGTAAACATTTCCAGGAAATAGTTTCTAACGGTTCTGGCTGGAACGCCGTGGAACGTCTCAGCCTTCCCAGGAATTAGACGGGTTCTTTTCTCACGGTCACGTGAAAGAAACGCGTATTCAAACACATCGTGTAATATTCCATTTACGGCTGTCCGTCTCCGTTTTTGACTTTTTACTCTTTTCTTAAAACCCAAAAGCTGATCAGAGGGAATTTAAATGGTTGTTGGGACTTTTTGTTTGTTTTTACTCGTTTGTTCTTTATTCTCTGAGACGTTGTCGGAAGGAACCGGAAGTCTGAACGTGGATGGAGGAAGTGATGAGGCTGGTTGTGAAGCGTTGTCCGTGTGCCCGGAGCCTGCATTTGCTCCTTATCTCGGATTTGTGTGCCAACATTAAAAGCAGACGCGGACACCCGGAAGGCCGTTTCCGTGTTGGCGGTCCGTCTGCTGGACATTCCCATTTTCAGCTGCAGAAAGAGAAAGACCGCTGAATGGAAACAATCCGGTCGTCATCTTTAGTTTTTGTTCGTTTAGATCTGAAGATGAAAAAACAAAGTTTACAAACATCAATCCTGCAGATAAAAAACAGTCTAAAATTCTCCATTTTCCTGTTTTTATCGCAATAATTTTGTCTAAAATATCCTTAATTATGTAAAGATTTTGCTTTATTAGAGTTAATTTCCTGATTTATTGTCAGAAACTGTCATCACAGATTTGATGGAATGATAAATCTGCTTCGTCCTGCTGTTGGTTCCTTGTTGGAAGAGAAGAGCGTGTGCTGTTTAGGGCCCTCTAGCGCCCACGTGTGGCTGAAAGTGAAACATCCAAGAAACTGGAAATGTTTTAATTTAAATAAAGTTTTCTGTTTTTGAATCCTCTCCAGATTTACGCCCACTACGAACTGAAGAAAACTTCTCACCATAAAAGGAATCTGGCCATCACAGGGGGCGTGGCCTTGTCCATTATCACGGCTCCCGTCATCGCGGCCGTCAGCGTCGGTTAGAAACACAGCTTTTGGTTTTTTTTTTGTTTAATTTGTTGAATCCGATCTTTTAAAACGCTTCTGTCGTTTCCAGGAATCGGCGTTCCCATCATGCTGGCGTACGTCTACGGCGTCGTTCCCATTTCTTTGTGTAGAGGAGGCGGCTGCGGCGTGAGCAGAGGGAAGGGGCGTGGCGTACGGATCGACTTCGATGAGGATGATGGTCCAATCACGGGTGAGAGCTTGGAAACAAAGACGCTCCTGACTTTGATGCTTTTCCAGAACTCTAAAGGAAGTTCTCTCCGTCTGATTCCGCAGTGGCCGACGCGTGGCGAGCCCTCAAGTCGCCGAGCCTCGGAGAGAGCAGCCTGGACGGAGCGGTGAGCGGTCTGAGCACCACCTCTCCCAGTGAAGGGCTCTCCGGGATGCCCGGAAATCTGGGCGACACGCCACACTTCAACACGCTGGCGGGCGGTGCCCTGGGGTCTCGCACCAGCAAATACAGCAGGTTGGTGGTTTGTCGTTAAAATTCCTCCGAAACACCTGGGCGAAGATGGCCACCACAGCTAGCCAATGGTAGCAATCAGAAAGTCGGCTGATTTGAAGCTAAACTAAGTTACGCACTAAAAGAATTGGCTGATCGGAATCAGCCTAAGAAAAATGATCCATGAGGAAGTTTTACTTCAAGAATCAGAAATCGGTGTCGACCCTCAGTCGGTGCGTCTCCAGCAAGCCGACTTTTTGGTGACGTGATTGGATGTTTCTCTGATGCGGATCGTCTGGGGACGGATGGGTCTGTAACTATATTCAGAGTGAGAGATGACGCCGTGTTTTGTTGCTCCAGGTTGGAGGTCCAACCAGGAGAACTCAATAAGGAATCGTCCCAGAGAGAGACGGGAAGCCTGGGAGCGGGAAGCGACTGTGCCAGCACCAGAGGGATGGCTGGATCCATCATCTCCTCCTACACCTTACCTGACAGGTGAGGAAGAAGTCTTCGTTTGGTTTTACTTTTCACCTCTGAGTCCAGATGAAGTTTTAGAAGACCTGGGTGTCTCTGGTGTCGTCCCACAGGGAGTGCACCAACCTGGAGATCCAGGTGGACATCGAGACCAAACCCAGCCATCTCTGCCTGACCAGCGAAGAGGACCTCGCCCCACAGCCGGGCTCTGCTGCTATGGCAACCGCCTCAGGAGGGGAGGAGCCTCAGGACTGCAGCTCCAGAAGGGGCGGAGCTTTGTGCGGCTCAGTGTTGGGACTGTCCCAGGGAGCGTCCATTAGGGAGGGGCTCAGAGACGTGACTCTGGCTCAGCCGGAGAGCATCCGCAGCGACCTGGAGATGTCGGACACGCAGTCGGACGACATCGCTGAGCTGACGTCGGACGACTGCGACTCGCCGCACCCGAAGAGCTGTCAGGCGTCGCAGGCCCCGTCCTGCCGAGCCCTGAACCCCCCCGCCGACGGCCTCCTCTGTCCCGCTGACAGCAGCGTCATCCTCTACGTCTGAGAGAGCGGCGGCTCTCGGAGTGCACAAGAACTAAAACCCGAACATTCACATTCAGAGCTTTCCTCCTCGTCAGCAGCTTTCTCGTCTCGTCGGGACCTCGGACGGCGTTTGTTTACTCCCATTCTGTCTTATCGATCTACCTGCCAGGGTCATGGTCAGGGTTCTACCTCTGAGATTTGTAAGATGATGACTAATGTTTACTTCTTGGTGCAAAATGCCTTGGCTACTTAAGCAAAAACAGTACAAAATTGTAAGAAAATGTGCAAAATGAAAGGATGACAAAGTCAAAGCAGACAGCAGCCGTGTCTACGGAGATGAGAGCCGGCGTTTGTGACGACGTGGGATTGGATGAGGCTTTGGTTTTCCTCCAGACGCTCGGAAGCCGTAACGTTTTTGTTCTGCGGCGTGCACGAACGTGCGTTCGTGAGCGAGAGTGCGCCGTTTTCTTGCCTGTTTGGTTTGAAACAGCAGCGAGTTTGTTTCACGTTTACAAAGCAGCACTGGAAACTCGCCGTCCTGCACAATGAGGAAGGCGGTCGGAACGTCGGGAACAGGAGTGTCCGAGAGTTCTGATAAAGATGGGAAAGATGTATTTATTCTGCATTTATCAGATTTTGTCGTAAAAAAAAACTTGACAGAATCTAAAAGGAGAGGTCTGTATTATTTTTATTACGTTTTTATCGCGAGGTCCTCTGATGATCGGCTGGACGATATTGTTTAAAAATAAAATTGCGACATTGTAGGGATTTATCGCGATATGTTGTGAAAGTTTTCTTTTGGCCATTGAATTAATGTTTAATTCAACACTATCACACAGACCGTGATAATTGTGATTACGGTGAACAACCATCGCATCGGTCTCGTGTCGAACTCTGCTGATTAGTGCCTGCTGGCCAGCTCGGTGTGGGGAACGGCTGTGAACATTCGGACCTGGAATTCGGTAAATCCGGCTGCCGTCGGGACTCTCGGTTTGGTCGTGATGCGGGTCATGTGACCAGGTGGTGGACTGACAGCGGGCTGACCCCGCCCTCCTCGACTGGCTTTGGTGTTGTTTACGTGGGAGCGAATGTTTTTGTTTTGACTGAGCACTTTTGCACTTTATCTGAGCGAATCGTATTTATGTTTTTTATTTTGGGTTCTCGCTGTGACCCAGTTCACTCGAGTTGCAAACGAAAGTCTGTGGTACCAAATCAACCCTCCTGTTCTGAAACAAGCCTTCAAAACATCCACTTAATCAGTATTTTGACTTCAGTTACGTGAAGTTTTTACCTGTGCTGCGATGCAAAGACTTAATTTATTGTTTGTTTTCCTGAGTGTTGTGATTTTTACGCCGGTGTGACGTTTTTGGTTTTGGAGTCGAACACTGACACCGATAAGCTTTTCCTCTTAGCTTTGATCACCTCTGTGCTTCTGTTGGAAAGGTTTCCCTTTCACCTCCAAGGGATCAAAATCGGGAGCCTTTTTTCATCTCGGAGTAGCTTTATATCGCTGCTGACGTGGCTTGCCGCTGCTTTTCCACACCTTTCTGTGCGACACCACGTGAATGTACCACAGACAGGAACTTCCTGAAAGAGTGTGAGTGTTACGGCCTGGTAGGAGCGCCAGTGGTTCCGTAGACAGCAATATCTAAGTGTTGTTATTGTTGTTTTGACGATGTGGCGTGTGTTTTCCTGTCTGCGGTAAAGGCCCAAAGGGCCTCTTCACGCAGGACTGGAAGCTTTTGGGGACAACAAATAAATAATAAACACAACTGATGTTGCACCAAGTCTGTGGGTCAGCGGTGATCATTTATTCAGATTAACTAGAGGTTAATGCCTCTTTTTAATTATGCATGGTGGAGCATTGGTAGTTCAGTTGCCTCGTAGCAAGAAGGTTGCAGGTTTGAATCCCGCCTGTAGCCTGGTTTACTGTAGACCATCTCCAGGTGTCCCTGTGATGGACTGGAGACCTGTCCAGGGTGTCCCGCGCCTGATGACTGCCGGAGTTGGACGCCAGCTCCCTGAGACCCTGATGAGGATGAAGTGGTTAGGATGGTAGATACATTTGACCCTCGGCCTTCTTATCAGAAAAAGCCAAATGAAGACAACTTTAGAGTTTAATGAAATTACTGGGGGTGGGAATTTAACGCATTGTGTAACGTTTGAAAAAAATTTCCCCTTGGGCCCTGGCGGATCAGTCTAGCATCAAAATGTTTCACCTAAACGTTGATAAATACCAAACTGGACATTTTTTACGTGCTCCAAACACATAAAACTACAATTAAATGAACCATGACACATCGCTCTTCATGAAGAAAAGACAGGAAGAAAAAGTCTAATATTTTTCTGTTAGGTGTTGTAGTTGGTAGAAAGCAGGCAGGTAGAAACCCTCAGCAGAACTTCCCCTGAACTCTACGCTACACCTCTACAGTATATGTATTAGCAGGGCTCGGCTGCCACCTGGTGTTCAGGTCACTACACAACATTTACAATGTTCCATGTCCACTTCATCAATAACACCAATATTTACATATCACAAATAATCCCACGGTGGTTCCCTTTATAACGAGACCAAAGGAATCACATAGACCTTGTGGTCACAGAAATAAACTAAAGCGTGGGTTAGTCATCTGTGACTTATTAACATTATTTTTTATTTTAATAAATCGCTAACTGATTAAAATTATTAAATTGTGATTAATCAAGATTAATTAATTACAAAGCCTCTAATTAATTCATTTTTATCGAGTCCCATCCCTAAAAATAACTCAGAAGTCCTCATCTGGTCTTCGTGTCTTCCAAGCAGCCAAACTTCTTTTCTTTTAGCCGTCCCACTTTGTCTCATGAACAAATGGTTTTGTTTACCTTCTGATGTTCCATTCAGACCAGCATCTTAGGAGGATTTGCACTCAGCAGGGCCTGATCCAGATTAACAGCTCAGGTTTTACCGAGAGTGCAGAACATGTGCGAATGTTGGCAAATTAATGTTGCCTCTTTGAACTGTTTCGCACTATATATTTAGGTTAACCCTACAGCATAGTGTTGCCTTGAGGCAACAAACTACATTTTCATACCTCACACTGGCCCTTTAAAAAAAAATTTTTTTTTTCTTCAAATAATGCTACCAGGGATATTTCTGGCCAATAAAATGATGAGTTTAAGGTTGTGTGTCTTTTATTTGGGGTACGGGATTCCCATCTCCGTTAAAAGCAGAAGGTAAGACAAAAATCACTTTATTGTGTACATATGTTGAAATATATACATATAAAAATAGTTGCTGGTGCATGAATACGTGAAGAAGAATATTACATTTTTTTATACATTTTTAGTTTTGTTTATACAGTAAAAGTGTTCATTTTCATTCAACAATGCGCACATTTGCTTCACTCCCGACCGCAACTGCTTTCTGATATTTCACACTGAATGAACAAAACGAATCCCCAAGAGAGCCTTGATCAAATTTTAGTAGTACTGTATTCTGATGTTTTACTGTTCAATTAAATGTTAGCGTTGATCATTTGTTGTTTGTTTGTCTGTTTATGCTGGTTGTGTTAATAAAATGTTATCATAGAACATCTTGGTGTTTTACGACCCTTGTTGCACAACGTTGCCTTGAAGCAACGAATCAAAATGAGTTTTTTGGGGGGTTGGGGTCAAATTTTTTTATTGATGCATTTTTAGGAACCCCAAAGCTCCCCTTCGTTGGGTGAAGTGTTTTTTTTTTTCCCCAAAAATTAAAAAGTCATGCAGTAGAGGGTTAAAGAAAAAGTTCTTATAATAAAAAATGAATTAATAAGTTTTGTGAACTTTTCTTAAAACATGTTCTAATTTTCAGATTATTGACCTGTTGTTTAATAAACCACCAACTTGTGACTCTGTGACTGTTTCAAATAACAAAAACTGACCTTTTATTTTTTATGGTAACTGCCTTTATATTTTGGTTGTTTGCTATGTAAGAAAATATAACTTACATGATCACATCGGAATATTTAAGAGGTTTCTCCAAGGAACAACTCATTCCTAAAGGTAGAGTCTTTGAGCACCCCCTCTTCATAGTTTTTAAATTGGCCTTTAATATTTCTTTTATTATATTGTATGTTGATCCCCCCCCCCCCCCACCACCCCTTTTTTGTTTGTTTGTTTTTTTGTTTAAAAATTAAAATGTAAATTAAAATTTCCCACTTGAGTGATTTCGTCTCTGTTGTTGTTGGATTTGCGTAGCCCACTTTTCTGATTATGTGTTTATTTTACAGCAAACCTGTTTCACTTTTATGAGATTTGTGGTCCAGTTCCTGACCTCTTCATTGTGTTACAGTTTTATGACCTCAGGGCACTAAAATTGTGTTTATTTTATTTTACATATTTTTTAACAGCAGACAGAACCAACTGCTTGAATTTTAAATTTTAACGCTTCAGCTGGGAATTGGTCCTTCTTCTTGGTTGGCTGGCATATTTTTTATTCTCGTTAGGTGGCGCTGTTTCAATTCAAAGCCCGTTTCACGAACGCCATTAATGCCAGAAGAAGACGCTTTACTTTACGGTCGTGTTTTCTGTCGTAAAACGCGGAGCTAAAGAAGGTTACAGCAGTTCGAAGAAAGCAACAAAATCCGGTAAAAACAAACAATGTGGTTGATTTAATTTGGCTGTTTTAGAAAACATTTAATCCCAACAACAACAACGTGGAGTTTATTTACTGTCAGAGATGTGTGTGCGTACTGCGAGGACAGAGAGGCTAACAGCTAGCGTTAGCTGACTGTCATTGAAGGAGAATCAGACCAAAGATCTGATCTAAAGTCAGATTCGGACAAAAAAGTAGAGTTAATAACATTTTCAGCTGCGAGGAGGTACGCAGAGCTCCGTCTTTTGTTTCTGAGTAACAGCAGCGCCGTGTTAGCCTGCTGTGTGTGTTAGCTACATGGCTAAACGGGATGGCTAACGGCGAGTTTTACTGCTTCTGAAACTCTAAACACAACATTCTGTTATTACTGACGTGTTTATTCGTCCTCAGAAGTTAAAATTCCAGTTCAGAGGTCTTTTAAACCGGTTTCTAAATAAATGTTCCTCAAACATGAATCTGTCGTTTCCAGTGATTCTACACAGCCGTTGTGTTTTCTAGGCTCCCACAAAGTAAAAATGTTCATTAAGACTCAAAATCACCGATTCCTCATGTTAGAATAAAACTCTGTCGGAGCATCGACGATAAAAGAAAGCTGACCTGGAATCTGCTCTGATTTATAAAATAGCCCAAATCAAACCTGGAGGCTTTTCCTCGCCGTTCACATTCAGGTTCTTTATTCTTGTTGGATTTATATATTTTTATTTGACATTAAGACGTAACAGAATCACTTAGAAGGATGGCGTTGGACAAACATCAGCAATAACAAACGTAAACAAGGAAGGAGGGAAAGTAGGATCAAATCGTTTTATATAAGGCATCAAATTTGTATTTCATTCCCAGACTGAGTAAAATAAATAAATGTTTTCATTAAATAAACTTTTAAATAATGCAAAGATTTGTCCTCTGGTTATTCAACTCAGTTAAATTATGATTAACTGATTAATTGACTAATAAGTAAAATGTTTCAAATCAAATGTAAAATATTAATCTCTGTGTCCCCCTGCAGGGGTTTCATCTCCAGCATCATGCCGTTTTTGGACCTTCAGTCGCGTCTCGGCATCGACGTGGACCGTTGGCTCGTGCTCCAGACCGGGCGTACGCCGTACAAGAACGCAGCGCGCTGCCACGCCTTCGAGAAGGAGTGGGTCGAATGCGCTCATGGCATCGGGCAGACGCGTGCCAAGGAGGAGTGCAAGCTGGAGTTTGAGGATTTCTACGAGTGCATACACCGGCACAAGACTGTGAGTGACCTTTGACCCTTCAGAAACACGGAGAACCTCTGTTTCTGTTCAGCTTCTAAAATGAAATGTTAAAAATCGTTCAGTGATGTCGACCTCAGGGATGAAAAATGAGTTTTATTCCTTTTTATAATTTAAATTCTACAGAAAAAAATCAAATGTTTGAGTTTCATTCCTCACGGAGAATAAAATCATTTTCTAGTCTGTCTTTAAAGCTTGGACCTTTCTCTCCCTCCTCGTCTCTGCAGATGAAGCGGCTGGAGGCCATCCGTCTGCAGCGCGACAAGATGGTGAAGGAGGGGACGTACACGCTGCCCCCCCACCACACGGGGAAGACCCCAGAGTCTCCATGATGGAGCTGCGTCAGATCTCCTGTACAGCCAATCAGAGCCCACCGTTTCCTCCTGCAAATAAATCATATTTACTGACCTCATTTCCTCCTTTCTGGTTTATTTTGGTTCGACGGGAACAAAAATAACTTCAGACAAAAGAAACAAAGCACATAATTTTCTTTTGTTCACTAAGAAAATATTTAAATATTCTCCAAGATCAGGAGTTTAGAATAAAATTTGCATCCATTTTGATAAAGTTGGAGGTTTTCTGTGAGGGTTGGGGTTGGGTCAGGTCTTGGTGCCCATCAGGGAGTCGGGTCCAGAGTCGGTTTGTGCTTTTGTAACGGATTCAGAGTAGAAAACGTAAGATTTTATAGTTAATTGTTCCAAACAAAATAATTTTATTCTGAGATGAGTTACAGAAGAGAGAAAAACGTGACACTCAGTTTAGTTTGATTTTTACTCATTTCTGTCCTGCGGCTCTTCGATAGCTGATGATCAGCTGATGGACGCTGACTTTCTCCAGGTGAGAAGGACCTGGGGTCTCATTTATCAAACATGGCGTAGAATCCTTAATAAAACTGTACTTAAGCTCAGCAAAAAAATGTATTTACGCCAAGCAGGTGTGTGATCTATCAAACATGGAGGACGCACAGCTGCACGCAATCTCCGCTTCATGAATCAGAGACTAACGAGAATGTTTCTCAGCTGCATTTTAGTCACATCCCGCCCTCACCACGCCCACTTACTGCTATAAATAGTCAATGCAAAGTGCCTTGTGGACCTCATGCATATACATAAGCCGACTTGTTGCAGCGCTCCACCAATGACATGGCAACCGTAGCTCAAGGAAGCGCTATTTCACAGCAGCAGAAGGTGAGGTACCTGTGGGTGAGGTGGAGAAATGAAAGGAAGTGCTTTTGCAAAACAAGTAAGAGAAAATCCACGGAGTGGCACAGCGTTGCTGAAGCCGTCAATACTGACTTCTTCAGAGAGATCTGTGGCGGATATAAAAAAATGGTCCAATCAGGATTCAATCCCCAGACTCCCGGGTGAAAGTCATACACTAACCACCCTTGTACAAGTAGCCAGGTCACATGATCAATCAGGTCACAGTGACAGGACACACACTGTCACACACACATGATGTTCTGTCTCAATCTGCCCCCCTGCTGATATTCTACATTCAGTATTCTGCGCTTCAGGCTGTGTGTGTGTGTGTGGGGGGGGGAGGTCTTGTTCTGTGAGAAAACGAAGCGGTACATGTGATGATGCAGCAGGATTTCATAATTGTATCTTCTCAGCAGCAGCACTGCAGGTGCTCTCCATGTCCTGCATGTGTGTAAGCCACGTCCTTAGTCAACTTAAAGTTGCGCACATTTTTCCGCAAAGTTTTCTTTCATAAATCCCAAAGTTTGCGTGGAAAGTTGCTTACGCCGTTTTCCGACCCCGTTTTGTGCGTAAGCAAGCTTGATAAATGAGACCCCGGATGTTCAGACTTTCAGGAGGATCATCAGAATTGTCCACAAGATGGCGCTAGAAGCCCAGGTTGTGACTCCAGTTCTCTGGATATTATGTAAAAAAAAAGGTCAAAATCTCTAAAAGTTCATGAAATGTCTTTTAAATGACCAGCTACAGCGAGAAAGAAGGCCCGCTACAGGAGAACATTTAGTCAAATGAAATGTTTGAACAATTAAAAACCTGAAAGTTTTACTGGAGAGCCATTTAACAGTTTACTTTTATAGTTTCATTGTTTAAAATCTTAGTTTTACTGTAATTCTAAATATGTAAACATTCCTTATTAATGACCTCATCGTGGTGCTAATGATTACTGATCAGGTCTGAACAGCTGGACTCTTCTAGAGCAAGGCAGCTTTATTCTAGAGCACATTTCAAACACAGGTGCTTTACAACTATCAGGACATGATATGAAAACACAGATTAAAACACACACAGATGGGATTACAGTTTAGAGCTAAAGGAGAAGACTAAGATTACAGAGGAGACGACGCAGCATAAGAAATCATTCATGTAGAGGCTGGTGAGTGCATGAGGGTTTTAAACAACACTAGGGCTGGGGCACGTCTGAGGTCGTGGGGAAGCTGATTCCATATCCGGTCCTGGAGAGCCGGTATCATGTTTTTGTTTTAACTCTGCTTCAGTGCACCTGAGTTGAGTTTAGTCAGCAGGTGAGCAGGCTTCTGAAGAGCTTGATGAGCTGCTGAACAGGTGAGTCAAGTTTATTTTTATAGCACATTAAAACCGCTGTTGCTGACCAAAGTGCTTCACAGCATAAGAAGCACAACACAACGATGACACGAGATCAAAAACGAAAAGCTAAGTAAAAACAGATAAAATGTTCAGGGCAATTCTGGACGAAAGCCATTTGCTAAAAAAAAAAGTTAAAAAATCATAAATAGTAAAATGACTCAAACTACAGTCAGGTCCGTAAATATTGGGACATGGACACAATGCTAACATTTTAGGCTCTATACACCACAATGGATATCAAATGAAACGAACAAGATGTGCTTTAACTGCAGACTGTCAACTTTTATTTGAGGTATTTACATCCAAATCAGGTGAACGGTGTAGGAATTTCAAAAGTTTCATATGTGCCTCCCACTTGTTAAGGGACCAAAAGTAATGGGACAGTTGGCTTCTCAGCTGTTCCATGGCCAGGTGTGTGTTATTCCCTCATTATCCCAATTACAATGAGCAGATGAAAGGTCCAGAGTTCATTTCAAGTGTGCTATTTGCATTTGGAATCTGTTGCTGTCAACTGTCAAGATGAGATCCAAGTAGCTGTCACTATCAGTGAAGCAAGCCATCATTAGGCTGAAGAAACAAAAGAAACCTATCAGAGAGACAGCAAAAACATTAGGTGTGGCCTAAACAACAGTTTGGAACATTCTCAACAAGAAGGAACGCACCGGAGAGCTCAGCAACACCAAAAGACCCGGAAGACCACGGAAAACAACTGTGGTGGATGACCGAAGAATCCTTTCCCTGGTGAAGAAAACACCTTCACAACAGTTGGCCAGATCTAGAACACTCTCCAGGAGGTAGGCGTATCTGTGTCAAAGTCAACAACCAAGAGAAGACTCCACCTGTGTGAATACAGAGGGTCCACCACAAGATGTAAACCATTGGTGAGCCCCAAAAACAGGAAGAAGCCTTCACAGTTCTGGAACAACGTCCTACGGACCGATGAGACCAAGATCCACTGGTACCAGAGTGATGGGAAGAGAAGAGTATGGAGACGGAAAGGAACTGCTCATGATCCTAAGCATACCACCTCATCAGTGAAGCATGGTGCTGGAAGTGTCATGGTGTGGGCATGTGTGGCTGCCAGTGGAACTGGTTCTCTTGTACTTATTGATGATGTGACTGCTGACAAAAGCAGCACGATGAGTTCTGAAGTGTTTTGGGCAAAATTATCTGCTCATATTCAGCCAAATGCCTCAGAACTCATTGGGCGGCGCTTTACAGTGCAGATGGACAATGACCCGAAGCATACTGCAAAAGCAACCAAAGAGTTTTTGAAGGGAAAGAAGTGGACTGTTTTGCAATGGCCAAGTCAATCACCTGACCTGAATCCGACTGAGCGTGCGTTTCACTTGCTGAAGACACAACTGAAGGGAAAACTCCCCAGGAACAAGCAGGAACCGAAGACTGTTGCAGTAGAGGCCTGGCAGAGCATCACCACGGATGAAACCCAACGTCTGGTGATGTCTGCGTGTTCCAGACTTCAGGCTGTAAATGACCGCAAAGGATTTGCAACCAAGTATTGAAACGTATAAGTTTGATTTATGGTTCTTATTCTGTCCCATTACTCTTGGTCCCTTAACAAGTGGGAGGCACATATGAAACTGTTGTAATTCCTACACTGATCACCTGATTTGGATGTAAATACCTCAAATAAAAGCTGACCGTCTGCAGTTAAAGCACATCTTGTTCATTTCATCTGATATCCATTGTGGTGTATAGAGCCTAAAATGTTAGCATTGTGTCCATGTACCAATTAAAAGGGGTAGAAAATGCCTCCTAAAAGCTCAATTAAAATACGTCTTCAACAAGGTTTTAAAATTGAGTCTGAGCAGCGCAAACATTTGCAGGAAGTCCGTTCCGAGCAGAGAAACAAGAAAAACATGCTGGATACCGGCTCTCCGGGACCAGGAGTAAGTAACACTGAATTAGATCAAATATTTAAACCTTGAATCTTTAGACTTGATTCTAAATATTTAGATTTACCTTTTTGACGTGTTGATATTCGATTAAAATGTTTTTATTTGTTGAACATTATGTGTTTTAAGTGTTGCATTTTAGTTTTAAATTAGTATTTTTTAGGGTTGCTGTAAAACAAATAAAAATATAAACGTAGGCCTGGACGTGAGACCATGACTAAACTAAATTCTTTATATTTAGATTCATTTCTGAAAAAAAAAACTAAAAAACAACTTTTGCTTTAAATTAAATAATTTAATCTTTAAATCTGTTAGCTACTTACATTGAATACACATTTTATCTTAAATATTTAGTTTTATCATATTTAGTTCAAGCTAAATTTGGTCTAAAAATAGAACAATCGTTTTCTAATCAGCACTCCATAGTTGTAAGATTTCTTTTTTTCTTCTATTTTGTTTTTCTTTAAATAAAATCGAAAATCTTACTGGGAGCTGCTAACTGGGCCAACTGGGCTTTTGGTTCAGGTGTTTGATTCTTTTGCCTTTATAAAAACCATTGATTCCAGTCCGAGACTGCGGAATCGGACTCCAGCTGTGAACAGCTGTTTTTGGAGCCTCCTCTTAAAATCACATTCATGGAGTCATGTGACGGAAACGCGTGGTTCGGTTCTGCTGTGAATGAGTTACTGCTGCAAATATGCGTGCGTGAACGCCCTGCTGCCCCCGAACCGAGCCCAAATGTGAGTCCCGGTTCTGGTTCTGGATGAGTCGCTGGGATGACGCACCCTTCATCTGAGTGACATGGTGTTGGATCGGAGGAGCGCTGAGAAGACCCGGTCCAGGGAGGAGGTGCTGGTTCTGGTGGGGGGTTGGTGTCTGAGGCGAGGGGAGGAGAGCAGCCATTACCATTCAGG